GTTTGGCAATATCTAATTTTGAAGGTCCAGAACAAGAGGAAACAGATATTGATTGGTTAGCAGTGGATGGTGAATTACCACCAGATGTAGAGTCTTTATGGGCTTCAACAACGGAAGATAGTAATACAAACGATTATGAAATAGAAAGTAAAGCAGGTGTAAGTTATGATCAATGCGTCATTATTGATTATAAAAGGTATAACGCAAGAAATAAATTCTTCAACGTCTTTTTTTCATATGAAAATCTCAAAAATCGTACGTTATGATGTAATATGAACATGCATTAGGTCACGAGATTTGGGGACATTTCCGCTCATTTTATTAAATGACCTCTTCGATTTACAACCAAGGGATGACAGTAAATTCTCGGTGCGTATATATACATTTTCAATAGCCGAAGTGCCTGTTTATTTGATAGTGGATTCCCTCCTTCGATAAGTTTATGCCTTAACAAAAAGTACACCAAATTTAATTTGTGGCGTTGTGTGCACGGTTTCGCCACAGTTTGTCACCGTATTGACACTATTTTTAAACTTATTGTCGGACAGGTCATGGAAAAACCTAATGAATTTATTTTTTTTAAAAAATTTTTACGGTAGCATAATGAATTTATTAAGCCAACGAAAAGGCTCAAATACGTATGTTTATTATCATTGTTATTTGTGTTTAATAAGTCGAGAGTATCTAAAGGTAACATGTTTTTACGATGAAAAAAGTAATAATTTTAATATTATGCTTAATTATTGCAAATCAGTGGAGATTCCACGTGGAAAGATATGTATCCAAAGACAAGATGTCCAAAAACAGCTATTGAGAAATAGGTTGCCATATTCAGTGGATATGCACCACGTTGTTTTCGAAATTGTCGTTATGAATGCTATTCCATTTAGAGTAATTTAAATTTAGAACATTATTTTCAGCTATCGCTATCGGAATAGATTGTCTTATTAAGCAATCTTCGTGACTTTAAAAATTTACATCTGTTGTGCATAACCGAGCGTTAGTTGTCTTAATTATGCAGTATTAATAGGTAATGTTCCTGTTCCTCAACTTTCACAAGTTTGTTTCAATGAAAGGTAAATGATATCGATATATTAAGATCATTTCTAAAAAGCATTCTTATATGCGATTTCAGTTCATTAATAGATCAATGTTCACAAGTTTTTATCAATGAAAGATAAATGATATCGATATGTTAAGATCATTTTCTTAAAAGTATTCTTATATGTAACTTCAATTCCAGATGGTCCTAAACGATATTAAATTAAGAAATTATCTGGGACAAAGGAGCAAGACCAGGGACGCAGGGTTCGAAAGTTTTCTTGTAGCAGCCTTAAACAATTTATAACGATTTGCAAAGATACTAGTGAAATTAAATTTTGATATGTGTATTTTAAAGGCTATGAAGCATGTTCTTTATTATGAAATAATCAATAGACGAGAAATAATTTTTTAGTCTGTAGAATTATTCTTTTATTAAATGCTTATAATCTGAAGACCGAATAATTACAATTTTTTACCATGTTATTGGCGTAACCTTGAATAAAAATGTTTAAAGTTCATTTTGTCAATATTTTTAAATTTCTTACATTATTTTAATGTTTTGTTAATTGTTGATTTTTTTTTTACATTTTTTGATATAAATATCATAGTTTAAGAGATTATATAAGTATTGGTCATAAGATCATAATCGTTATCAATCGTTATCAACGGTTATATAAACAAACATAAGACGCGTACTATTTCTCTTTTCATTTTCGCGGAAAAAGAAACAAAAATGAATGAACAATCCCAAAGTATTTAAACAATGATCAGAATTTCATTTCATCATGATTTCTACCCAAAGATAAATAAATCAACCTTTTATTTATTAACATACCATATTAAAGTCCTCCAAGAATTGGAATTCACCTTACGCGAGAATAATACTTCCATCAGTGAGTAAGTATCTAAAGTAACTAGCAGGAAAAAATATCTTTCGGTTAGTTACGTTATAAAACTTGTGCAACTTAAATTCTTTATGAATTTGCAGCCTGAGTGATTATCTATCAAATTTGAACGCGAATATTTATGAAGCGGACACTAAAATTAATGAAACATGGAATTCTTGTAAAAAGTTAAGGTTAATAAATTAAAAATTATGATATTTTGTTTAACCTTTTTTTTTCGAATATAATTGATCGTCTTTTCTCGATATAAATAATTTTAGAGAAACTTACGAAGCGCAAATTGAAAATTTTCAACAAGATTTGTTAAAATGGTTACAAAAAATTAATAAAACAATTCGTCAAGGAAATAAGAATTTTATTAAAAAAGAAAATGATAACGATATGTTCTTTCAAGAAAAACAAGAAAGTCTGAAATGTCTGGAAGAAAAGATGAATGAATGTAAAAAAAAAAAAATAACTTCAAAAAAATTTTTTTGACAATTCTAGTTAAGGTTAATCTTTTACGCTTTATAGTGCAAAATACGATCGAACAAAAATTTTCAAAATCGACTCTCGAAGGTTTATTTAATTATGAATGTAAGTCATGAATACATTCGCTTAAATCCACGCATGGCACGGGAAATAACTTACGTGCTATTCAAAAAGTTTCTCAACTAAAAAAACTTGTTCAAGATTCTGCCGATGCTGACGAAACTACTACGGATGATACATCTGAATTAGATTTAATGTATGAAGATGTACCTTTGCAGCTATGTCAAGATAATCGGTGAATAATTTCTATATCTGCTTAGCGTATAATTAATTATTCATGAATCATGGCTTTTATTTTTTGCTTACAATTCTTGCCACATTAATTACTCGATAATAGAGACTTACGTGAGCAATTATTGAACAAGATAAAGCTTAATAAAATTAAAATTCGTGAATTAGAAGAATCGGTCAAATGTATAAATAGGTAAAATCGCATTTTATGCACGCACTTCTTGTGTTCTCGTCTTAATATATATATATTTTACGAAGTAGATTAGCAGATGAATGTGAGAAAACTTCATTGAATGTAACAACAGAAAATATAGAGCAAATGGTATGAAATATGTACAAGGTATGAAGTATTTCTCATCTAATATTTAAACCTAAAATCTAAATGTGGCTTGTTTTATCTTATCATAATAATGTGTGATAAGTAATCTACACGTTACGGTCTTATAACCCAACAATTTCTATTAAATTTAATGATTAGTCGAGGGATTAGCTTTAATATGTATAGTATCAGATTAATAAAATTATTTATGTAACGTATTCTTACCAATATATGAGCTTGGTGTACACTCAGGGGATCTCCAACCTTACAAATGGTATAATCATCCAGCAAACAAACAGTATCATTTTCTGCTACAGTCGGTGCTTCCATCTTTTTAAAAATATCATTTACAGCTTTTTGTACAGGATGGCCACCTTTTTCTGGCTGATATGAAACAATTCCTGCAGGAATTGTTACAGTCTCTGTTGCAATACTTCTAGGTCTCGCATATTCTTTCCAAGTAAAGTTTTCTATATATTCTCGAACCTCTTCGAGAGGTTTACTGGTAAGAAATAAACCACATTCACCATAGATTTCCTTTTTTAAATATATATGCATACGTAAGTTTAAAGACGTAATTTCATGAACAAAGAATTTTTTTCCAGATAGTAATAAATAAAAAAAAAAAACGGGTAAATTTATATATACTTTAGTCAATTCACTCAAATTGTCTTCAATTTCATTCGATTTATCGCTTCCTAATGCCATCGTTAAGATGGTATTTTTGTGAAAAAATATTCTTCATAAAAATTATAAAAATTTATAACCACGTTAACAACGTTAGTTAAATTTAAATTAACACTAATATTGGGTGCTACGAAAAAAATTAACTCGTTATTCTTACTTTCCCTTAGATTCCCAGTCAGCACGAAACTGTTGCATGAAGACATTCCGCATTTCTTCAACTTTCACCAGAAAAATAAAGTTGAAATTTTTAATGCTATTTTTAACCTTTTCTGCTTCCTATAACCAATTTTCATAATTAATATATATTTATACAAGCAACAAAAAACAAAACATTTGAAATACCTTCTCAATATAGAGTCTTCTCTTTAACTCAGTCTTTTTCGTGAGCCATTCTAATTAAAATATATAGAAGAAAACATTCGATATTAAAACTAAAACTAAAACAGAAGATAAAAGTCATAGTTTGATATCTTGTTTATTACTATTCGCTCTTTCTTTCTCTCGCCTTTTTTTATCTCTTTTTGATCTTGCCATAACGATAATGTATTGTGTTAGATTGCGTTAAAAAAATTTCAGACACAACGGCACAAGATTTGGCGTAACATGAAGGCTAATTTTTTAGGGGTTTTTACTAATTTACCCCCAGGTTTCTGATTGGCTAGATTTGTTTACATGTTATCTTCTTTTTAAAATATGACGC